TCCCAGGGAGCCCCGGGGAGCACCCCGGACCCCAGGAGGAGGCTGCTGGCTTCCCAGGGAGCCCCGGGGAGCACCCCGGACCCCAGGAGGAGGCTGCTGGCTTCCCAGGGAGCCTCGGGGAGCACCCCGAACCCCAGGAGGAGGCTGCTGGCTTCCCAGGGAGCCCCGGGGAGCCCCGCGTACCCCAGGAGGAAGCTGCTGGCCTTGGACGAAGCCCTGGGGAGCATCGCAGACCCCAGGAGGAGGCTGTCTGCCTCGGATGGAGCCCCGGGGAGCACCGTGGACCCCAGGAGGAGGCTGCTGGCTTCCCAGGGAGCCCCGGGAAGCAACTTGGACCCCAGGAGGAGGCTGCTGGCCTTGGACGGAGCCCCGGGGAGCACCGTGTACCCCAGGAGGAGGCTGCCAGCCTTGGACAGAGTCATGGGGAGCACCACGGAAGCCAGGAGGAGGTTTCTGGGCTTGGACAAAGCCCCAGGGAGCATCGCGGACCTCCGCCCTCGCCAGACGCACAGGTAGGTTTCTTTCTGGCCTGTTCAACGTGAACTTTGAATGCTGCTTCAGAGTGAAGTTGCCTAAATAATTTCATGACTATTGTCCTTAGACCCAATTTCAAAAGCCCTAAAAGCCTAAAATCTCTTCTAGTCCATATATGTAGGTTTAAGATCTTAAAGGAACTTAACAATTATTGTTCTTAATGTCAATCTAAAATGATTCTTTTAAAATGGGCCTGAGAAATTGGACTGAATTTGCCCTAATCCTGGTATGAACATACTTTGGAATTACTACTTTTTACCATATTTGAATCTATTTTTCTCTTTTATTTCCTCTCCCCTCCCCTTTATTCTATTACCTCCCAAAATCTTCTATTAAAGTTTCCTACTTATTTGAAGTTTATTCTGTTGTAACCCTTTTGAGGACTTTTAAAAACTTTTCTTGACCAGATAATGTGGCAATTTTGGTTTGGAAAAATCACAATACATAATATCAAAGGAAGGGTTCCTAGTTTTAGTATTTGTAAACTAAATTTTATTGTGTTTAAACTTAGATTTTGTTTATTTTAAACTTAGCTCTTTTAAAAAAGAAAAATCTTTTGGCCTTTCTTTGAAATGCTAGTAAGTCTAAGGAATCTTATAATTGTGCTGATTTGTTGTGACTGCTCCTCCAGAACACGAGCAGCAACTTACTCCCGGTGGTTGAAGAAGAGAGACATTCTGGAAAGGAAGTATCCAGTCACCCGAGGAACTCACAGACTTCTTTGCAAACACCTGAACTTAGTGAGACAGAAGAACAACCGATACAGTCGCCAAACTTTCCAGAACAGTTTCCTGACACTTATTTAAGGTATGAGTTATAAGTGTGTATGTTTAAAGAAAAAAAAATACAGTATACTTGCAAATTCTGGTTTGGGCAAGACTGGGAGAAAAGGATGGTGGTCATTCTGACAGTTAATTGTCAGAATTGCTAACAGAATAGTATGTATGCAACATACACACCTAAGTCTGTGTTGATTTGCTTGCACACCTGTGTTTTTGGTGTGCAAAGATAATATTAATTTTAGGCTTATAGCCTTATATATTTTCAGCATCTCACCATTAGTCCAATTTTTTTTTTTCAATTAAGAGTTAGTTGGGTATGCTACTGCCAGTCTCTAAGGTTGTCCTAAGACTGGTCTCACAGTCCCTTCAATTCTCTCTAAAGCTTGATAATCCTTGTTCCAAAAGCAAATCTCTTCCTCAAGAGCAGAAGCCATTTGAAGTAAAAACAGCACCTTTTGTCAGAAGTCGATTCAGAAGACCAAAACCAAACCTAGCAAGAGCAGCTGTAAAGAGAGAGACGACAGAAGCAGAAAAACACATGCTTGGGAAGAAATTGGAAACGGATAAAATGGAAAATGTTGTGATACAACAGAAGAGTGAACAAGCGAGCAACTACACATCTTCTCAAGATGTGAGTACAATTTTATTGAATCACTTGTGTTTTGTGTAGTGTTACCAATCAGCCCCTGGGGGGTACAGATGCTTCACATTTTTGGCTACTGACCAGAGGTAGGAGGTTCGAGGCTACCTCGAGGTACCTTTATAGAAAAGCTTGGCAGACTATTTCTGAAGAATTAACCATTGAAAACCCTGTGGCACACAGTTCTACTCTGACACACATGCGTCTCTGTAAGTTGGAATCAACTGGACAGCAACTGGTTAGTGTTACTAAAACGAAGCACCTGGAATTAAAATGTATAACTATGTCTTCACATTACTTTACTGTGTGTGACGTTGTTCCTGTTTTTGATGTCCTCAGAGCTTCACATTCTTGGTGACTCTCCGATGTCTGATGATGGGCCACTTTCATATCAAAGCAGTTAGGAGGCCTGCGCTCTAGATCCATGTTTTGGCTTTTGCTCACTAACCATAACCAAGAGATGTGATGAGTTTTTTCTTACGAAAATTGGGAATAATAATTGTTTACTCCATTACTGAGTTATGAAGATTAAATGAAACCTAAGAGCTTGCTATGTTTTATTTGGTCCATAACAGATTGATTGCTTCAAAAAATTTGAAATGAATTTTAATAGTAATAAGTAGTGTTCTACAACCTTCCTGTAGGTCTTTAATGCACCCCCCTACCCCACTAATTATCATGACCCCAGTTCTATTTTACAAATCTGGCTAGACCTGAACACATATACTTGTACAGATAAGAGCTCACAACACGGAAGCCAGAACAGATAAGCCCATCAGGACCAATAAGGGGAGCAACAGTACTTGGAGGATAAGCGAAGGGGGGTGGGAGTAAGGGGGAACGGATCATAATAATTGACATGTGTTCCCCCCACCCCCGGGGGACAGACAGCAGAAAAGTGGGTGAGGGGAGACAGTAGTCGGTGTAAGGCATGAAAAAGAAAAAGAATAATTTATAAATTATCAAGGGGACATGGGGGAGGGAGGAAAAATGTGAGGAGCTGATTCCAAGTAGAAAAAAAAATTTCTTGAAAAAGATGGTAACAACATATGTACAGATGTGTTTGATCCAATGTATACTGTATACCAGCATTTATACTTCTCAGTCTTACATTAAAAAAAAATCTTTGATATTTTCTGACTATAAAAATTTTTAATTGGAAACACTTGTATAATCTAAGAACTGAGAATTCTTTGTAATGGCACATTTTTCTTTTCCACATTAATCATGTAGCAATTTTGAATATGACTATACTTTTCTTTGAAGATAAGCTTTTTGGTAAATATTGAAATAATTAGAATCAAACCTTGACGTCTGGTTTTTCCATTTTATACGTATGGGCTTCTTTCTTGAACAGTGCATAGAAATTTAACTTATTTTATGTGACTACATGTAAGCTGTTATAAGGAGCCCTGGTGGCATTGGGCTGCTAACCACAAACTCAGCCTTTTGAAACCACCAGCTGCTCTGAGGGAGAAAGACATGGCTTTCCTCCCTCCCGTAAGGTTTTTTTATTTTTTTTTATTTTCTAAAGTGTTCATTACTTGGGGGGTGAGGACATCACACAATTCAATTCAATTTACCTGTAATCCTGCCAAGTATCTAGAAAAAGTAATCTTAAGGTACAAACTCATGACAGCAGTTAACTGAACCTCACACTGTCAGACCAGTGTCTCATTCCCTTGCCCACACCCGACCTAGGGGGACTGCTTGGGGGCACAGAAGTGGAGGCCCTTCTGCTGGCTACTTACTGGTCAGGGACGAAGTTGGAGCTTCTCTGCTATGGCCCAGGTTTGGGGCAGAAGGGACAACAGGGTGACCCCAACTCACTGGAGACTAAAGGTCACTAATGCTGGTTTGCTTTAAGATCAATAGCAGCGTGCGGCTCGTCAACCCAGAACCTTTGACATCACTTTGGTATCAGCCAGGAGACATCTTACACATGCCCAGTATGGGCCTGACAGCTTACAGGTCCCAAACCCCTGCCTCCTATGGAGCTTTCCTGCTTGGACTAGACCCCAGACCCCCACCTCAGAGTCCAAGGACAGATGTTACCTGCAGCAGGCCCCTCAGAAACCAGCCTTTCTCAGCCTCATCTAAGCCATAGCAGTCGGAACTCTTGACTGTGGATGGAAACTACACTTAGCGGCCCCATGGCAGTTCCAAATCCAAACCAGTTTCTGGAAAGCTTCATTTGGCTCCGCTAGGCTCCTAGAGAACTGCCCCCTTCCTTTAACAGCCACTGTGGATTTATCAAGGAGCCCTGCTGGGATAGTGGTTAGGGATTTGGGCTGCTTACCTCAAGGTCAGCAGCTAGAAACCACCGGCCGCTCCTCGAGAGAGAGGTGGGGCTTTCCATTCCTGTTAAGTTAGTCTTAAACTCACAGGGGCTATTCTACCCTGTCCTACAGGATCACTATGAGTCAGTATTTGGTTTATGGCATTGTTGGGGAGCCGTGGTGGGCTCCCCCTGAAGCTCCTGCTGGGTGAAGGTCTCAGACTTGGGCAAAACCTCCAGGGATCTCCCTTAGGTAAGGTTAGAGGGTGAGGGGCAAAACCTCCAGGGATCTCACTTAGGTAAGGTTAGAGGGTGAGGGGTAGAGAAGCTGTCAGAACACACATTTTTATTTACTCAGAAAAGAAACACAAAAGCCCAAAAGGTCAAACATTCCGACGCAGAGTGACCTGAGTTGCTGTGAGTCGGAATTGAGTTGATGGCATTGCATTTGTTTTTTTCATTGGCTGTTTTATTATTTAAAATAAAACAAAATCCCACTATCATTTAGTTGATTCCAAGTCATACGATGCTATAGGACGGTATAATTATCCCTAGGGTTTCCAAGACTAAATCTTTATGGGGATCAGCTAGCCTATCTCTCTCCTGAGGACTAGCTAGTGGATTTCAATTGCTGACCTAAAAATTATAGCCCAACATATAACCCATTACATCACCAAGGCCTCTGTTACATTGTAAGGATCTTGTAATTTATTTATTCGACTTTCTACGGATACTTTTTTCCTATTATGTTGCTATAATGTTTTTTCCTATTATGTTGCAACATCTCTATTATGTTGCTATAATAAGTATACTTATCAGCATCAACTCAGCAGCACAGTGAGTTTTCTTTTAAATGTTTTGTATATGTTTAAAGAAAATTTTTTAATCATTTTATTTTATTTTGGGGACCTGTACAACTCTTATCATAACCCATACATACAGCCATTGTGTCAAGCACATTTTTACATTTGTTGCCATCATCATTCTCAAAACATCTGCTTTCTATTTGAGACCTTGATATCAGCTCCTCATTTTTTCCCCTCCCTCTCCACTCCCCACTCCCTCATGAACCCTTGATAATTTATAAATTATCATTATTTTCTCATAACGACGTTTCCCTTCACCCACTTTCTGTTGTCCAGCAGTGAGTTTCTAGATAATTGGGTATTTTTATAGGAGGTAGTTCTAAAAGTGAAATTGCTAGGAATTTAAATTTTTGCAAAATAATGCACAATTGTCCTTTACAAAGATTGTACCAATTTATTCTTCTGCTAATGCTATGTAAGTACCTATTTTTATATACCTTTACTAACCCTGGATGAAATTATTAAAATGACGTGCCTTTTAGAATGTGGCTTCCCTAATGATATCAAGAGAAAAAGGTGAATCAGATCACAAGGAGAAAAATGATGTGCTATTACCATGTGTACTGACTGAAAAGAAGGTTTCACATTCACTTTCTTCTGAACCAAAGGAGGAGACTCGCTCTATACAAGCCCAGGAAAATGACTTGGTTTCTTCTACAGGGTAATCACTGATGTTTCTTCTATTATCTAATTAAGAATGATATTTCTTCATTTCAATTAAGGTTTAACTTATTTATTTAAATTGAGGTTTGAAAAATGAAAGTCAATATGAAGGATTTGCTGCTGTTGTCAGTTGACATGTAGTTGATCCTAACTCATGGTGACCTCATGTGTTAGAGAGAGGGCCAGTCTCTGGAGTTTTCCTTGCTGTAATCTAAATAGAAACAGGTTGTCAGCCCTTTTCTGTCATGGCACTGCTGTGTGACTGCTGCATGAGTGTGAACTGCCCTGCTTTAGGTAAGCAGCTGAGTACAAAAGGACCTATGGTCCTTTTCTTCAAAACAAAGTTCTTTAGTTTTTTTATCGATGTAATTAGCAGAATGCCTAAGGTAGAATGTCAGATATTTGGAAATCGTAGCTCTGAATGCTTGCTTACATATATTCGTTGTTAAGATCCTGCCCAAGCAATGCACATGTATATAAGTATACAATCAGTACATTTTTGAGAATTATTTACAAAATACTATGTAATCAGAAAATAAATATTTTTATCTAATGGCACGAAACATTTTTTGAGAGAGATTATTAGAAGTGTCACATTTTACATTTTTTAACAGTTTTGTTAGCACTTCATCCACATGCCCTACAGTTCAATAATTCAATCAGATCAAGAAGACTTGTACAGTTATCACCATAGTAAAATTTAGAATATTTTATTCATTGTGCTCATTGTTTTTCATGTAATTATTATCTTTTTCTAATTGTGGCAAAAATATATACAAGACTCTCCAATTCCACAACTTCTACATGTATCATTAATGCCATTGTTACACTCTTCGTGTTTTACAACCAGTATTGGTGTCCTTCTGCAAATTATTCCACCACCATGAACATAAAGTCAATGTCCCCTAAGCAACAACCTTTACTCTTTCATCCATGGTAACCATTGGTCACGTTTGGTTTCTTTCTCTCTCTTTTTTTAAGTCGTTTTCTTGATACAGTAGTCACATATACGCTGCCATGGTTAAATCACTTTTTTAAAGAGTTGCACATACATCTTTACAATCAGTTCTAGTGTTCCCTCCCTATTCCTGCATTCATTGTTTGCTCCTCACCCAAATTCCCTCACCCTCCCTACCCTCAAGCCCCCTCCACATCCTTGCTAAATTATTGTATCAGTTTTTGTCTATATGCATCCACTCCTTCTGTGCTTCACAAACTGGGAAACCCAACAGAAACAATAACACTTTTTACATTTTTTGTATTAATTTTCAACTCTTTATAGTCAGGCTCCCACTTTGTCTCTCTGTGTCATTTTCTAGGCCCTATAATGTAAACACTTGCGGAAAAGAAATGAAAGAAAGTGGTATCCAAACTACTCAACCATTACGGCGCAGATTTCATCGACCCGTACCAAACATAAGAAAGATTGAACAGAGACAACGAGGAGAAAAGGGTGAAGCTAAAGACATAGTTATGGAAGAAAGAACAATGTTGCAAAAAGAGGAAACTAAAAAATGCCCTGATGTGGTGAGTTACAGTTATAATGTTAACGTGAAAATAAATTTATTATTTCCTGAATTCATGAACCTATTCATTATAAAAATGTTTGATCGATATAAAGTAAGTTTAAATAGTAATGACTACCTCAAGTCTCACCACTTTGATATAACTATTGAAAACGTTTGACACATCATAACGCATTTTGCATGTATGAATACTTAATGTAAATTTAAATGTACATATACTGTTTTCTACTTAGTATCTTTCACTTAAAATGTTAAGTGAATGTGTCAAGAAATGTACACGTCTGACTTAAAAAGTGTATTATCTCTGTTTTGAACTATCGTTTGATAAGTTTCTTATTGGTGGTCCTTTTGATAATTAGAAAAGAAATCTTTAAGAATTGTAATGCTCATGATAGTGGGACAGGAGGAGAATCAAGGGAAATAGAGGAAAGAGCTGGGAGGCAAAGGG